CTGGAGTTTTCCTTCTGGATAGACAGGATTTTAGCCTCCAGTCCCCTGATCCTCTTTGCTGCTGTTCTCTACCCTCTTTCCAGGGTCTCAACATCTTTTTTTACATTGTGGTGACCAAAAGTGGATGCAAGATTCCAAGTGTGGTCTTACGGTTTCATGTGCTCTTGTTTCTATCCCACTGTCAATGCAGCCTAGGATTGCACTGGCTTTTTTTATGCATGACTAAGATGAAAATTCAGATCTTCCATTGTAAAAAAAAAAAAACTTCCTTGTTTTGTACAGTTTTGTTTATTATTGAAGACAAAAGTTCTTCAGGTACAAAAAAACACAATTCTGCGTTAATCGTCCGCTCCTATGGAGACAGGAAATAAATTTAGTTGAAAGTTGGGAGTGCATGGGATAAGGTCATGTTGATTAAATTGGCCCTTTTCTCATCCACCACCATAAATTGGATGCATAAAACAAGTTCCTAGGCTGAAATATCTCCAGAGCTGGGAACATGTCAAATGTTTATTTCTTTTTTGAAAAGACGAAGACTTACTGTTGATTTCATGAAATCATCTACGTAGGTTTTTTTTGACAATCCCACCTAAGTGCTTTCTTGTACCATCCCTGAACTATTTTTTTTTTTGCTGGTTTTCTAATCAAAGACTAATGAAATGTCCAAAATGACTTAATTTTTACACTTGGATAAGATTAATCAGTGGAATTCCTGATTAAAAAAAAACATGGAAGTGCTGGCACAGAAATGTTTGTATGACATATTGAACCTAAATAAATTGATCCCATTTTGCCTTACGTTTGGGAAACTCCAGGACGTTTGGTTAGGTATAGTATATTGCACAAGCTTAGGATGTTGAGTTTAGAATGTCTTAAGCCATAGTTAAGAGTTTCACGTGGATACAGCCTTTGACAGCATTTCTCACTCTGTACATGTTCGTTGCAGAAAACATGGAATTGTGGGTGAGGAATGAGGTAAAAGAATAACTGGCAAGATGGGTGTTGTGCTCTATTATATTGCATGCACTTATATAACAGAATAACAGAATTGGAAGGGACCTTGGAGGTAATAATAATAATAATAATAATAATAATAATAATAATAATAATAATAATAATAATAATAATAATAATAATAATAATAATAATAATAATAAAAAAGTTGGAAGGGACCTTGGAGGTCATCTAGTCCAACCCCCTGCACAAGCTGGAAACTCTACACCATTCTGGACAAATGCCCAATCTCTTCTTAAAAACTTTCAGTGTTGGAGCACCCACAACTTCTGGAGGCAACTTCTGTTATATTGGTTAATTGTTCTGTCAGGAAGTTTCTCCTTAGTTCCAGGTTGCTTCTCTCCTTGGTTAGTTTCCACCCGTTGCTTCTTGTCCTGCCTTCAGGCGCTTTGGAGAATAGCTTGACTGCCTCTTCTTTGGGGCAGCCCCTGAGATATAATAATAACAATAATAATAGTAAAGTTGGAAGGGACCTTGGAGGTCATCGAGTCCAACCCCTGCTCAGGCAGGAAACCCTATACCATTTCGGACAAATGGCTGTCCAGTCTCTTCTTAAAAACTTCCAGTGTTGGAGCATCCACCGCTTCTGGAGGCAGGTTGTTCCACTGGTTAATTGTTCTCACCGTCAGGAAGTTTCTCCTTAGTTCTAGGTTGCTTCTCTCCTTGATGAGTTTCCACCCGTTGCTTCTTGTCCTGCCTTCAGGCGCTTTGGAGAAGAGCTTGACTCCCTCTTCTTTGGGGCAGCCCCTGAGATATTGGAAGGCTGCTATCATGTCACCCCTCGTCCTTCTTTTCATTAAGCTAGACATACCCAATTTCTGCAACCGCTCTTCATAATACATATATTCATACAAGGTACATAATTATAACTTTAAATAAAAGTAACACCTTTTTTTTCCTGCAAGAGACCAATAAACTCTTTGGGTGAATTCTAACAATTCATCATTGCAGAAAAGGCTACCCAGGACATGAGACTTGGAGAATCTCAAGCAGACTGCTTTTTAGCATCACTAAAACTTCAATAACAACTGCTTTTCCTGGAGTACATTATACTTAACGATTCCTGCATGTAGATTTGTCTCATCAAAGAAAGCCAAATAATAGTGAAACTCTACACTGTCCTCCCTCCCTCCCTCCCTCCCTCCCTCCCTCCCTCCCTCTCTCTCTCTCTCTCTCTCTCTCTCTCCTCTCTTTATATTTTCTTTCCATGAAATTATGAGTAAAAGATTCTGGTTTACATCATTTCCTGTTCCAGCAATTTGCTCTTAAAGGTCACTTTGTTTTCTTGTCTGATCGCTTTTTCCTTGATTTCAAAAGATGATGATCCGTGCTAATTGTTATTACATTAAAATAGATGTTTAGTTTTAGTTTTTGGGTTTTTAACCTTGATGAGGGACTTCTCTGGGGGTTTGTAGAATTGAAGGCAAGGAAGAATTTCCTCAGATTCAAATCACCGTCAGCACGAGTTACTGAGTTAGAAACAAATTGGCCAACTCTGAAAAGATCTGTGCCACGTTTGGTCCGTTTTGCAGAGATAAATAAACAATTTGAACTTGAGGAGAAGGAGAGGGCAAATTGTAGAGGCACATCCAAAACCTTGCCATGCGTGGTTTTCTAGTTTGCGGACCTGTGATTATTATCCCCAAATAATCAAGATCACGCAAAGTATTAGTACCGCTTTATAAAAACCCTAGTGAGGCCACACCTGGAATACTGCAGCCAATTTTGTTCACCATATCACAAAAAAAGATGTTGAGAGTTTGGAAAAAGTTCAGAGAAGAGCAACTAAGATGATCCAAGGCTTGGAGACTAAAACATACGAACAACGGCTGCGGGACTTGGATCTGGCTAGTCTAAAGAAAATAAGAAATAGGGGAGACATGATAGCAGTGTTCCAGTATTTGAGGGGCTGCCATAAAAAAGAGGGGGTCATTTTATTCTCCAAAGCACCAGAGGGCAGGACGAGAAACAATGGTTGGAAACTGACCAAAGAGAGAAGCAACCTGGATTTAAGGAGAAACTTCCTGACAGTGAGGACAATCAACCAGTGGAACAGAAGTTGCCTTCAGAAATCGTGGGTGCTCCATTACTGGAGGTTTTTAAGAAGGGACTGGACAGTCACTTGTCTGAGATGGTGTAGGTTCTCCTGCTTGGGCAGGGGGCTGGACTAGAAGACCTCCAAGGTCCCTTCCAGCTCTATTCTCTCTATATAAAATAGACTGTTTACAGATGTGGGTTTAATGGCCTGTCAGGAGCAAACTTTGTGCTCTCTTCTTGACAGAAGCCAACCCAGACTCTGAAACAAACTCAACTTATGACCGTTCATTTAGAATCTGTTCAAAGTTATGGTGCTGAAAAAAGACTGATCCTCACACTTGTTACCGTTACAGCATCACTAGATCACACAAAGTATTAGTTACCGCTTTATAAAACCCTCGTGAGGCCACACCTGGAATACTGCAGCCAATTTTGGTCACCATATCACAAAAAAGGTGTTGAGACCTTGGAAAAAAATCAGAGAAGAGCAACTAAGAGGATCCAAGGCCTGGAGACCAAAACATACCAAGAACGGCTACGGGACTTGGGTTTGGCTAGTCTAAAGAAAAGAAGAAACAGGGGTGACCTGATAGCAGTGTTCCAGTATTTGAGCCAACTGATTCATTTTTATGATGGTTGCAATGTCCTGGAGTTATGTGACCATCACCTTTGGTGACCTTCCGACAAGCAAAGTTAATGGGGGAGCCAGATTTGTTTAACAACAGCGTTACTGACTTAACAATTTAATAGCGGTGGCAAGAAAGTTCAGAAAATAGGGCAAAATCCACGTAACAACACAACAGAAATGTTGAGCTCAATCGTGGTCATAAATGAAGGACTACCTATATTTCCAATGCACCATCTAATTTCCCCCTGTTTTTTTTCTTTTCTTTTCTCAAATGCTCCTGTTCCTTCAACATTGGTGGGTGGCTGCTTTGGAGGATGAAAAAAATAATTTAGAGCCCAGGCACAACAGTGCCAAATATTTTAAACAATTGGGGGAAGTGAGTCACTCCCAACGAACGTAGCAGACATATTTATGACAAATGTTGCGTAATCTGAGTTTCCTGCTACGTTCCCAAACAATGGCATCTTTTCCCTCCGTGCCCTTCCCGACTTTCAATGCTCAGCCACCATTTTCAAGAAATACACTGAAATATACATGATTTTTTTTAATATAAAAAATAGAGAAGTTCCTACAAATCCCAGAAATCCTTTTTTCTCCCCCAATTACAGCATTATTTAATATGTCCGTCTCCCTTTCCTCACAGTTGGTAACCGTAATATATTTAGTATTAATATCAAAAGAGTAACTATCTTGTAGAAATTAGTCTTCAAATTTGCCTGGATTTGGTTGCTGTCCATACCTAGGAGCTTTTATCTGCATAGAAGTAAATCTGTCTAAAACTGAGTAGATTTTGCTTACAGGTGATATAATGTATAAGCTTAAAGCAATGAAGCAAATGAAGCTTATAATATATAAGCTTAAAAGGAATGAAGCAAATGAAGCTTATAATATATAAGCTTAAAAGGAATGAAGCAAATGAAGCTTATAATATATAAGCTTAAAGGAATGAACCAAATTAAGTTTATAATAGATAAGCTTAAAGGAATGAATCAAGTGCAGTCTTTTGTGTGTTTACTCCGTAGGGAGACTTGTTGAGTTCAATGGGAGTTGCTCCCTGATAATTAATTAAAGTACAGCATTGCGTCTTTTATCTGTCTTTGGAATAGCGTAAGCCCAGCGTCTTGGAACTGGCTGCAAGCCATTGAAGTCTTGAAGAACAGGTTTGGTTCACTGGAATCTAGGGTTGTTGAGGAGACAGCGATAAAGATCCCCCAAAATTTCTCCCTCTTTTGAGGATCATACCGTTGGGAAGCACCCAGCCTGGCAGGGTGGAGGGATCAAGTACAAAGCTAGCCTGGAGTCGCTGCGCCACTACAAAAGGACTCCACTAAGTTCCTTGGGGGCCTCATCTAATTGTTCCCCAGTGAAAGCTGCCAGCCTGTAATAGAGATTCTTTTATTACAGGCAGAACATAATAAAGGAGTTAGCTTGGACTCCGCACATGTGTGGGTCTGGTTGTTCGTGCTTGACACACACACACGCCTCAAACCTAAATGAAGAGTGAAACTGGAAGAGAGCTGCATATTAGCAATAAGTAAATAAAAAAAAAAAAACCCAGAAGTTTCTCACTTTCAATAAAACGCGTTCCAGACTCCACCTAACTGGCTGAATCAGTTAGAGATATCCTTTAAGTAGCCAGCACTAAAAATATACAGTTAGTTCTCGACTTAAAGCCCACAACTGAAGCCAAAATTTTGGTTGCTAAGCGAGATAATTATTAAAGCGAGTTTTGCCCCATTTTATGACAGTTCTCACTCAAGTCGTAAGGCGAATTGCTGTAGTTGATAAGTTAGTAACCCGGTTGGGAAGTGGATCCATCTTCCCCCGTTGATTTTGCTTGTCAGAAGGTCGCAAAAGGGGATCACGTGACCCTTGGGGGGGAGCTGCAACTGTCATAAGTATGAGTCAGTTGCCCAGCATCTGGATTTTGATCACGTGACCCTGGGGAAGGCTGCAGCGGTTGTAAGGGTGAAAAACGGTCATAAGTCCCCTTTTTCAGTGCCGTTCTAAGTTTGAACCATCACTAAATGTAAATTTGTAAATGCAAGACTATGTGTGAAGAATTTTCCATTGTGGGATGTAGGGATTGATACAGGCTCAGTTAAGACCAACTGCTGTGAGCCACAGATGGAAACTCATCAAGGAGAAAGAAGCAACCTGGAACTAAGGAGAAACTTCCTGACAGTGAGAACAATTAACCAGTGGAACTCCTTGCCTCCAGAAGTGGTGAATGCTCCAACACTGGAAGTTTTTAAGAAGAGACCGGACAGCCATTTGTCCGAAATGGTATAGGGTTTCCTGCCTGAGCAGGGGGTTGGACTAGACGACCTCCAAGTTCCCTTCCAACTTTATTATTATTATTATTATTATTATTATTATTATTATTATTATTATTATTATTATTATTATTATTATTATTATTATTATTATTATTATTATTATTATTATTAAGATTTGGATCAAGGAGGCTGTCTATCTATCTCTCTATCTCTCTATCTATCTATCTATCTATCTATCTATCTTCTATCATCTATCATCTATCCCCCATCCCTCCATTCCATCTATCCTTCCTTCCTTCCCTCTAATCCATCCATCCATCCATCCATCCATCCATCCATCCATCCATCCATCCATCCATCCATCTATCTATCTAACTATCCCCCCATTCCTTCATCCCATCTATCCATCCCTCCTTCTCTCCAATCCATCCATCCATCCATCCATCTAGATGACCTCCAAGTTCCCTTCCAACTTTATTATTATTATTATTATTATTGTTGTTGTTATTATTATTATTATTTTTTTTTTGAACTTTTATCCCAAAAGAAGAAGATCCTGAATTTAAGATACTCCCCCCCCACCTCCACGGCATGAGCAGACAGCAAAAACCTGTGTTTCTACTCTCATATTTTCAGTAATTATAGAGTTTTAGAAGTAAATAATGAGGTGGTGTGTGGTGTGTGTAGTTTTGGTTTTTAGTTAATCCCCAACTGCTCGTTGGGTCCAAATTATTGGGGAGGAGCACAAGGGAAGGTCCCAGCATGCACCCTGAATACGGGAAGACTTTTTGGGGGGTGATGTTTGTGCTTCACAACGTTTTTTCTTTCTCTCCCCTCTTTCGCCAAACCAATCGCCGTTTTAGGGGCTTGTAGAAAATTCACTTTTTTCTTCCATCCGGGCTTTCCCGGGATGGATGCGAAAGGAATGTTTTTTCCCTCTTCCCCCATTCCCTTTTTTAAAAAATTAAGAATTATTGAGCGCCCTTCCTCTTATGGAATATACACCTGTTTTAATTATGAGTCTCTTAAGAGATGTTTTGATGTAAGAAGCAGCCTGTAAGTACAGCGGATCCTCGAACGTACAACGGTTCCTATAGTTAACAAAGGCACTGAAAAAAAAGGGACCTATGACCGTTTTTCACACTTACAACCCCTTGCAGCCTCCCCCGGGTCACGTGATCAAAATTCGGACGCTGGGCAACTGACTCATATTTACGACGGTCGCAGCCTCCCGAAATCACGCGATCCCCTTTTTTGCTGCCTTTTGACAAGCAAAGTCAATGGGGGAAGCCAGATCCACTTAACAACCAGGTTACTCGCTTAACAACTTCCGTGATCCACTTCACATCTGTGGAAAGAAAGTTCACAAAATGGAGCAAAATCCATTTAATAATGTTTCACTTAAGAACAGATTGTTGTTGTAAGTCAAGCACTGTTTAGATATCCAACAAATACGACGACTAGCTCCAGGCATGTTTAGTGGACGTTTCCAGTTGTGTGTTTTGTTAGTTGCGAAGTCGTGTCCGACCCATCGCGACCCAATGGACGACGTTCCTCCAGGCTTTCCTGTCTTCCAGTTGTGTACACTGTTTTATGTTTTTTGTTGTTTTCTATTTTCAAACTCCTGCAAAGAAAAATAACCTTTTTTCCCCCCCCTCCCTCTTTGTTCTAGTTATCTTCAGAATACACCGAACAAACTTGTGGCCTGTGCGGCAACTACAATGGCAACCAAGGAGATGATTTTCTCACCCCTTCCGGGCTGGTGGAAACCCTCGTGGAGGACTTTGGAAATTCTTGGAAGCTGAAGGGGGACTGTGAAGATCTGCAAAAACAAGACAGCAATTCCTGTAGCCTAAATCCTCGCTTAGGTGGGTGTGTGCTTACGACAGAGCCCTTGTGGGCTGTGATGAAAAATAGCAGGGTCTTATTTTAATCCAGCCAAGAGTTTTGTGCACATTAAAGGCAGACACAATTCTCCCTTTTAGGGACAAGAATCCCCTCCCCTCCACGCATTAAATCAGGATTCTGGTTGATGCGCTGGAGTGTAGCTTTTAGCATGGCCATGATTAAATGCATAATATCCACTTTTTGCATTAGAACGAGTTTTGTTATTCTCTTGGCCCTTCCTTTTTTTTTTTCCCTGGCTGGGCCCACTTTAGGAATGTTGCTTTGGCAGGCTACCCAAGGCTACACACACACACACACAACAAAAAGGTGAAAGGTTATTTCTTACCTCTGCCCAGTGCACCCTGTTAAAAAAAAATACTTAAAAGAGATTTCCTGATTTGGTTTCCCTGCCTGCGTCTCTCTGCCCCATCGCAGGAAGGGCCCCGTGCTCTTCAACATCTTCATCAACGATTTGGATGAGGGGATAGATGGGGAACTCATCAAATTTGCAGATGACACCAAGCTGGCAGGAATAGCCAACACTCCAGAAGACAGGCTTAGGATACAGGAGGATCTGGACAGACTTGAACACTGGGCACTATCTAACAAAATGAAATTCAGTGGTGAAAAAAGCAAGGTTCTACATTTAGGCAAGAAAAACCAAATGCACAGGTATAGTATAGGGGGTACCTTGCTCAATAGTAGTAACTATGGGAGAGATCTCGGAGTCCTAGTGGACAATCACTTAAATGTGAGCCAGCCGTGTGCTGCAGCTGCCAAAAAGGCCAACACAATTTTAGGCTGCATGAACAGAGGGATAGAATCAAGATCACGTGAAGTATTAATACCACTTTACAAGGCCTTGGTAAGGCCACACTTGGAATACTTGCATCCAGTTTTGGTCACCATGATGTAAAAAAGATGCTGAGACTCCAGAAAGAGTGCAGAGAAGAGCAACAAAGACGATCAGGGGACTGGAGGCTAAAACATATAAGGAATGGTTGCTGGAATTGGGAATGTCTAGTTTAATGAAGAGAAGGACCAGGGGTGAGAACTAGACATACCCAATTCCAGCAACCATCCCTTGTATGTTTTAGCCTCCAGTCCCCTGATCGTCTTGGTTGCTCTTCTCTGCACTCTTTCTAGAGTCTCCACCTCTTTTTTACATCGTGGTGACCAAAACTGGATAAATAAGCAAGGCTGATCAGCCATAAGGATCCGACCCCCTCTTTGAGGGAGACGGGCAATTTGAAACATAAATAAAATAATCCCTCCGTGCCCAAGCAGCACAGTTGTTTGCGATGAGTTGCAATTCTTGCTCCGTGGCCCCTGTGTTGAACCTGCTTTCCTTCCAGCCAGGTACGCAGACAGCTCCTGCTCCGTCCTGCTGTCGCCCCTGTTTGGGCCCTGCCACCCGGAGGTCAGCCCTTCTCCCTACCTGAAGAACTGCCGCTACGACGTCTGCTCCTGCTCGGATGGCAGAGACTGCTTGTGCACGGCGGTCTCGGCCTACGCCATGGCTTGCGCCCGCAAAGGGGTGCTGATCGACTGGAGGAAGCCGGAATTTTGTGGTGGGTGCTTCTGGACCAAACATGGGCTGAATAAAGTCAGGCCTGGGACTGGGTTGTTAAGGGACAGCGATGTTGTGGGAATGTGTAGCACTAAAATGTGTCTCGCTCACTTCACCTCCAGAACCGGTGGATGCGCCAACACTGGAAGTTTTTAAGAAGAGACGGGACAGCCATTTGTCTGAAATGGTGTAGGGATTCCTGCTTGAGCAGGGGGTTGGACTAGATGACCTCCAAGGTCCCTTCCAACTTTATGATGATGATGATGATGATGATGATGATGATGATGATGATGATGATGATGATGATGATGATGATTTGGATCAAGGACGCTGTCTATCTATCTATCTATCTATCTATCTATCTATCTATCTATCTATCTATCTATCATCTATCCCCCATCCCTCCATCCCATCTATCTATCCCTCCTTCCCTTTAATACTTCCTTCCTTCCTTCCTTCCTTCCTTCCTTCCTTCCTTCCTTCCTTCCTTCCTTCCTTCCTTCCTTCCCNATCTATCTATCTATCTATCTATCTATCTATCTATCTATCTATCTATCTATCTATCTTCTATCATCTATCCCCCATCCCTCCATCACATCTATCTATCCCTCCTTCCCTCTAATCCATCCTTCCTTCATTCCTTCCTTCCCTCTAATCCATCCATCCATCCATCCATCCATCCATCCATCCATCCATCCATCCATCCATCCATCCATCCATCCATCCATCCATCCATCCATCCATCTATCTATCTATCTATCTATCTATCTATCTATCTATCTATCTATCTATCTATCTATCTATCTATCTATCTATCTATCTATCTTCTATCATCTATCCCCCATCCCTCCATCACATCTATCTATCCTTCCCTCTAATCCATCCTTCCTTCATTCCTTCCTTCCCTCTAATCCATCCATCCATCCATCCATCCATCCATCCATCCATCCATCCATCCATCCATCCATCCATCCATCTATCTATCTATCTATCTATCTATCTATCTATCTATCTATCTATCTATCTATCTATCTATCTATCCCCCCATTCCTTCATCCCATCTATCCATCCCTCCTTCTCTCCAATCCATCCATCCATCCATCAGAGAAAAGAGCCAAGAGAGAAGCAACCTGGATTTAAGGAGAAACTTCCTGACTGTGAGGATAATTAACCAGTGGAACAGCTTGCCACCAGAAATCATGGGTGCTCCATCACTGGAGGTTTTTAAGAAGAGGCTGGACAGTCACTTGTCTGAAATGGCGTAGGGTTTCCTGCCTGAGCTGTGGGGTCCTTGGTGCCCTCTGAACTTGCTTGTTTTCTTGCAGACGTTTCATGACCCAAACTAGCTAACATCATCAGTGCGAGCAAGGAGTGTTGTTTGCTGTCAGTTTATGTTGTGGTGTTTTGTCTATCTGGGTGGGTGGGGTTTTTTGGTTGGGCTGTTTGCTGATGGCTCTTTGGCAGCTTCTTGATTGGGGTCTTGCTTACTTGATTGTGGGTCTGAAAGTGGCCTTGGAGTTAATCCACCTCTCTGGGGTTTTCTTACAGGCTGGATTGTTGAATTCTAATTAGTTGAAAACTAATGCTGGATTGCCTTGTCCAGCTGCTCTCATTTTTCTGCATATTCCACATGTTCCCCGCCCCCATCTGAATGCTAACATTTAAACCAATTATTTTAATTATCCAAGAGAAGTGGGGAGCTGGCATTCTGAAAGCAACAGCTCTCATTTCAAGAATGCCTCTGGCTCCAGGACAGGCATTCTCCAATGATGAAGTGGGTGGCTGCTTTGTTTAGTAGATGCTCAACTCCCAAAAAAAGAAGAATAACAGAGTAAGAGACTTGGAAAGGACTTTGGAGGTCATCTAGTCCAACCCCTTGCTCAGGCAGGAAACCCTATAACCATTTCAGACAAATGGCTGTCCAGTCTTTTCTTAAAAATTTCCAGTGTTGAAGCATTCACAACTTCTGGAGGCAGGTTGTTCCACTGGTTAATTGTCCTCACTGTTAAGAAGTTTCTCCTTAGTTCCAGGTTGCTTCTCTCCTTGGTTAGTTTCCATCCGTTGCTTCTTGTCCTGCCTTCAGGTGCTTTGGAAAATAGCTTGACTCCCTCTTCTTTGGGGCAGCCCCTGAGATACTGGAAGACTGCTATCATGTCCCCCCTGGTCCTTCTTTTCACTAGACTAGACATACCCAACTAAGGAGAAATTATATATTATAAAATATACATTATATTTTCTTTCACAGTTCAATCTTATCTCCCTGTATATGCTACAAAGTATATTTTTAAAGCGAACAAATATGAAATCTCAGCTAATGTAAAATCCCTTCTCATCAAAACTTTTTTGTCTCAATGCTGTTGAGTTTGGGGCAAGCTGTTTTGTGAAAAGAGCATAATGTTGGAATTGCTGCCATCTAGAGTTAAGAAAGAGTTGACGGGACTGTAAGTTGGAGACTTACTAACAGCAAGTTCTATTCGTGTTTTATACCTTAAATGGAACTTGTTCTTTGCAGTGTACGTTTTACTGAGGACGCTTCCACTTATTTGGTTTTGAACAGTCTCAAAAAGGTGTGAGTGATTGGGGGGAAAAAAGGCATGGATCGTAGCCCAAAATTGATTTAGGAAATCTCCTATTTTTCTGCCTGCTTGAGACAGAAAATGGAGCTGGACGGTAGTAAGAATATGGCCTCTCGAGATACAGCACCATCAGTAATAATAATAATAATAATAATAATAATAATAATAATAATAATAATAATAATAATAATAATAATAATAATAATAATAATAATAA